GCCCTGCAAGGTTCAGGATCCCAGCAAACCCACCCCGTGTCAGCCGGGAGCTGAAGGAGCCATCACCTACCTCGTCGCAGACGTGGAGGGCGAAGAAGAGCACCAGCATGCCAGTGGAGGGATAGCGCCCGTGGTGCTCCGTCCAGCGGTCGTGGATGTACTTGAAGAAGGCAGGATTGTAGATCTGTACCTGGGAGGACGGGCTGGGGTTAGTGCTGGAGCCCCAGCCACGTCCCAGTCAGCACTGGCACCCTGGGAAGGAGCACTGGGAACCCTGGGGGCTGATGGGGTAACAGGGGCTGTGGCCAAATAGGTGCTTATGGCATTGTGGGGATGAGCCCCCCGTACCTTTTCTTTGTCCACACGCAGAAAAGGCTTCACAGGCGCATATGTGCTGGGAAAAGAGGAAAGGCAGGTGAGCTCTCAGGGGTCCCACCCCCCCATCTCCAGCCTGAGCTGCCAAGGGATGCTCTGGGAGGGAGGAAGCAGTGAATGCCCACTGCTCCCAGGGGAGCTGTCCCCAAGGTAGGTGAGTGACCAGCCAGGTGCTGCTGGTGCCCACTGGGTACTTACAACCTGATCTGGCCAGTGGAGAGGGCACTGGCGATCCAGAGCAAGTCCAGGGTTTTGAAGGGCACCAGCACAAAGCTGACGTTGGCGGGCAGGTTCTTGGCACTCTCAGGGTACATGAAGTGGTGTGTGGTCCGACCACCCACGTCACCCTCAAAACCCACTGTGGGGGCCTGGTTCATCCTGGGGAGAGAGCCGGGAAGGTCACACCACCCTCCCACACCACACACCCACCCCGTGCCTTGCAGGTGACACGGATTTCCCCCGAATGCTGCCAAGGAGCAGTTTCCCAGCCTGCTGATGCTCAGAGCGCAGGGATGACATGAGGGTCCCCCCCAGCCAGCCCAGGGGAGGTGGCAGGGCTGGACCCACTCCCACCCATCCCAGCACCCAGAGGTGCCAGCATCTTGTGCTGCCCGTGGGGCTGGGGGGTGGGCAGTGCCCCCGGCAGTGCTCCCCGACCCTCCCTCACCGCATGACGAAGTCGTGCCCGTCGATCTCCGGCCCGTAACCGGAGCCACGCAGGTTGCCTGAGTTGCCGACCACGGCACAGCGGCGGCAGCGCCGCGGGTCACGGGAGCGGTAGGGATCCTCTCCTGGCACGATCTGGAAGAGCTTGCTCAGGACCTCGTGGGTGTTTTGGGACTTGAACTGGGGCTGCAGCATCTGCAGGGAGGGAAGGAAGGCAGGGGGGCATCAGCCAGTGACCCCCCGTGCCAGAGCACATCACAGCATTCCCATCCCTGTGCTCACCATCCACCACCTCTGCACATCGGGCGGCAGGTCCATGTTCTCCTTGGTCCACACCGGGGACACGCTGCCGTCATAGCGCCCGTCAAACCAGTCGGTGGCCCCGGGCTCCTCGGCGGGGCAGCGGCGGCAGGCGCAGCCCCGGGGGTACGGCCCCGCCTTGCTGAGCCGCTGCATTCCGGCGTAGCCGGGCACCAGCTTCACCCGGTGGATGCCGCCCAGCCCGCCGGGGTCCAGGTAGGCGATGCTGTGGTGGGAGTAGGTGAAGAGGAGGGACATGACGAAGACGAGCAGGAAGGCGGTCGAGAGGAAGCAGAAGCGCAACGAGCACTTCATGGTCGGCGGGTGGCTGAGCCGGGGACGGCGCCCGCTCCGGCACAGGGCGCGGGCATAGGGCGCGGGATGGTGTCAGCCGGCCAGCAAGGCTCCCTGCGGGAACGAGAGCTTTAACTCCCTGCGGTGGCAGTGGGGTGGGGGGTGATGTAGAGCCCCCCGTGCCCCACCGCACCGGGCTCCTACCTGCTGGGCTGCAGCTTTCCATCCGCGTTCTTCAGCCGCGGCGAGGGCCCCCGGTGGCTCCGAGTGCCAGGTAGGGAGCATCTGCTGCTGGCCCCGGCCGCGGGGCTCGGGCACGACTCGGCTCGCCGGGCTCAGCCGCGGCACCGCGTCCCGGCGGCTCCTCCGGGTCCCGGCCCCGGCTGGCGCTCAGCTGCCACGGTGCTCGTCATCCCCGGGTTTAGCTGATCCGCTGGCACCGGGCCCGCAGCTCCTGGCTCGGGAACGCGGCCACCACGACACCGGCCTGGAGCGGGAAGGAGGGGACAGCGGGTCGCGGGGCGGCGATAGAGCCGGCAGAGCTGGAGGAGGGCGCCAGGGGCTCAGGAGTTTATTCCCCACCGAACGCGACAGAACGGCTCCCGGGCCATCCCTGGCACAGGGTACGAGCCATCCCCAAAGGGGACGAGCCGGCGCAGGTTCGAAGGGAGCCGAGGTGCCGGCACCGCTGTCTCTGCCGGGGAAACCCCCGCAGCTCCCGGGCTGTGCCCTCCCTGTCCCTGCCAGACAAAGGCTCAGCCACGAACTCGCCTACGGAGCCGAACAAGGGGCTCCTTTCTGTAGGCTCAATCCTTTTTCTCTATCACGCCATGAGCAGCCCCTCCAAAACCCTCTTTGCCGGCTGCTGCCGCCGCCGAGACAGCCGGGAAGCGACTGTTCCTCAGCCTGACGGGCACCCCGGGGACCGACGCCGGGACTGTCCCCCCCACCCCGAGTGGCAGCATCCCTCAGGGAAGGTCACCCGCTCGCTCGTGATCCCGGCGGGTAAAAATAGCCAGGGCAGAGGTGCCGGCGCCTGCGCCCGGGCAGGGGCGAGAGGAGCGGCCAAGCCCCCCGAGCCGGGGGGAGGGCAAAGCCAGACCCCCTTCCTTGGCCAAATTTTAAAAAAAAGGCTGAAAATCCCCTTTCAGCCCAGTTACTGAGGTGGGACAGGATCCAGCATCTCGGGAATGGAGATGTGACCTCCCCTCCAGGCCTTTATTGAGGAGAGGATGACACCCCCCCTCAAGGCCAAACCCTGCAGTGGCATCATCTCCACAGCTCAGCCCTGGCCCCAGCTAGGCCAGCATGAGGCTGGCAGCACTAATTAGGAGCTAGCAGGCACCAGGATGCCTCTTCCCTAGGAAAAACATCCTCTGGAAGACGCTGGTTTTCTTACAAGGGACAGAGACTGCTGCACCCCTCAAAAACTCCTTGGGATGGGGGGAGACCATGGACCCCAAAATCTCCCCCAGCCCATTGCATAGATGCCTCCTGCCCAAATCCTTAACCCACCGTCAAATATTTGTTCAGGTGGTGACAGTCTTTAAAGGAAAGAGCCAAAACCCAAGGGCACATCCCAGTCCAAGTCCTTTCCCAGGCTCTGGGGGAGGCATTTAAACACAACTACATGCCACACACATGTCCAGAAGTGACTGCAACGAGTTCCTTGGGTTGTTGCCAGAGGGAAGAGCAGGGTGGTTGTTTTGCATATAGGGGAGTTTGGGATAAAGCCAGTACAAAGGTATATTCCCCCTCAGATGCACAACACGAGAAGGATTTGGAGGTAAAAGGCGATTTTTGTGCTTTTTTTCAGCTGCGACATGGCAAGGGACGCCAGGCAGGATGGGCAGAGCCCCTTCCCCTGCTCCCGCCGCTCACCATCCCACGGGGCTTTTTAAAGGCTAAAGGAAATGAGCTATCACGTGTGCTTGTGTTATTTTTGTTCCTGGTGAAAAGGGGGAAATCCCTTTCCGGCTCCCCAGCACAGCCCGGTCCTGCCTGATGCATCCCAGCCCTGGCAGCATCTGGAGCACATTTTGTGCTGGTCCCCCCCGACCCGGGGCCTCCCGGAACTGCCCCCGACCACAGCGGGGGGGAAAACCCCCCCTCCAGCCCAGCTCATGCGCGGTAAAAGAAGCCTTAAATCCCAGCGGCTGGTTTGAGTCATCATTTTCCTAGCAGGAGCTGGCAGCTATTTCCATCTGCACTGGTCCTTACAGCCCCCAGCAGGCACAGGGCACCCACACATCCACATGTACCCCAGCAATTTCCATGCCCTCCCTGCCCAATCCTAACCCAACCCGCCTCCACAAATAAAACCCCACTGCAGGAGCACTTTGCACCAGATTTTTGATGTTTCCTTCTTAAAATAACAAGGGATTTCAGAATTTCTCCTGTGGTGAGTAAGCCCAGCAACCCAGCCATGCCACTAAATACCCTTCCACTCCCAAATTCATCCCCAGGATCCTAAATTGTCTCCTGGGTCCCCTGTGCTCATCAAACACAAGTTTCTCTTTGATTGCAGGAGATAATGAAATGAGGCTATTAAAAGGTCCCAGCAAATTGCTCTGCTGCTTTTACAGCTGGATGGTTTTTTCCAATCATACAATCCTTCATTTCAGGACGAGTGCTGGAGTGATGTGACCGACAGCCCCAGGGCCTGGAGGATGCCTGTCCCTTCCCCATCAGCTGTAATGCCACCAGGCACATCCCCACCCTTCGTCTTTAGGTCTTCTTGCCTTTGTTTGCTTGTTTCTAAGATATCCTGAGGTTGTTGGCACCAATTTCCAGGCTGGTAAATGGCAGGGTGGGCACAGGAAGGAGCTGTCACTGGGAGATGGGATGTCACCCTGTTTGGGGCAGGGAGAGGAGGGGAGTGGAGGAGCAGGGGCAGCACTGCCTGCACCAACTGCTGCTCTTCCCAGGGATGACGGGGCTGAAAATTCCCCTGGAAGTCCTCAGGAGATGCAGGTAACCAGGTGCCACCCATCCCATGGCCCCTGTGCAGGGACATCACTTCTGCCACCACCAAACCATTGACGGGGTGCCAGAGCGGTGCATGGCTCTTGCAGGTGGAAGAGGGGGAAGCACACAGGGACCCCTTGGACCAGACCAGCATCTCTCCTGCTGTCATGATGGAAAAACTGAGAGTTAGGGCTGGGGGTTTTTTTTGACAGGGAAGGAGTGGATGTGAGCTGAGTCTTCTCCCACCTCCTTCAGCCCCAGGCAGAAACACCGAGTGGTGACCTGTCCTTGTCTCAGACCCAACTTCAGCGAGCTGGATTATTACAAAAATGTATAAAACTGTCCTAATTTCCTTTCTTGCCAGGCCCGAGCGCCACCAGAGGTTGCAGCCCCGCAGGCAGAGCGCTGAGGAACGCGCCCCACTTGCCTCCACGTCAGCTCCTGTTAGCCTGGAAGGGACCATACCCTGTCCCTCTGCATCACGGGGCTTCCAGAGCCTGACCAAGAGCTGGTGAGAACAGCACAGGTAATGAAGAAGGTTGTCTCCTGCATTGCCCATCCAGAGGGATTATATTTTCCCCGTGAATTTTTTTTCGTCCCTGGAAGCTGGATGGGAGAGGAGCAGGGAGCAGACCCGGTGTTGGCACAAGGATGTTTCTCCCTGCTGTGGATCAGTGCCATGCAGGACCGATGGCCAGTAGTAGCTGAGCACCAGGTATTAAGAGAAGAAGCCAATTTCATGCATTAAGCCATTGCCACATCCCGACAGCAGCGAAGACCTGGTAACTTATTCTTCATCCTTTTAATTAATCATACTCTTATCAGCCAGCTCAATCAGCTAATGGAGCCAAGTTAATTGGGTTTCCCATGTTTTAAACCCTACTTGCACCCCTGGTTGCCAAGAGCAGCAATTCCAGCCTTTCCTTGTTCCTGGCCTCTGGAGGGGTTATTTTGGGTTTGTCCCTCAGCGCTGGGATAAGGCCAGGAAAAAGCGTGGAGACCAAATCCCCAGCACAGAGCTGGGACAGAGCCAGCCTCACTGAGGCCATTTCCTATGGGATTTGGGGGCACAGGGGAGTGCCAGCAGTGGGAAAGCTCAGAATAGAAGGCTCCCACCCTTGCTGGTGGATGGGTCTTGCAGGGACTGGTTCAGCAGCATCCTGAGCCCCTCGGCTCAACCGCAGTGGGAACCCTTGGGGAACTACATCAGCTCCAACACCCTGAGCTGCCTGACGGGGCCATGCTGGGTGGGCACCCTCCCTGTGCAAAGCCATCTGGCCCCAAGGGGAGCCGGCTGCCCGCTGCCAGCCACACTTCCACCTCACCCTCCCACAGCCACAGACTGGGATCAGCACAATCTGCCTGGTCTGTGTCCCCCTCCCTGCCTGGTGCAGCAGGGCTGCATCCCACAGACACCCCTGAATCAGTCTCTCTCCCTCCCTCCTCAGGTGCCTGCAAGGACGTGGCCACACCACAGACATGCTCCCCAGGACGGGCAGGGCCCCTGCTCCCAATCCATCACTGCAGCACCCTGCGAGCCGCCGGCAGCACCCCGAGCGTCCCCGCTGGCTGTCAGGAAGGAACCACTCTCCCTCCACCACTGCTGCTTGTTTTACCAGCCTGGGCCCTTAAGGTTTGTGCCTGATGCCTCACCAGGAAAATATGTGCAGGAGTGTGGGACGGGCAGATGCTGCACCAGGGAGGTGCCGCCACTGCTGCCGTTTGTGGCCCTTTGCCCTGGGAAGGTGAGCAGGGACACGGGGCCCCACTGCACTTTCCTTTCCTCCACCCTGGGTCTCATCAGCACCGAGGCTGGGAGGCAGTGGAAAACCAAAGGCTTTCCTTTGGCTCTGGAGGGCTGGTTAATGGGTGCTGTGACCCACAGCCGCCCCCTCTCCCCCGGGGCACAGCCCGAGCTGAGAACTGCAAACTTGGCTCACACTGTGGGTAAACCAGTCCAGGTTTGCTCTGCCTGCAGGCAACACCCAGAGGCCTTTGATGTCATTAGGGAAATTGTACCTATGAGATTTTATCACAGGGAAGTTATGGGCCTCCCAGGCCAGAGGCCATCAATCCCAGCACAGCCCAGTTACAGCCAGGGACTCCCATTAAATGTAAAATTAGAGCAGTTCCACTGGCAAGGGCCCCTGACTTCTCTCTGCTAGCTGGGGCTCAGACACCTGGGGAGAAGGGGGAGCATTTCCAGCTTCCTAATTAGCCCAATTACTGCTGCAGATCAAAAAAGTCCTTTGGTGGGGACATGGTGGCACCCGGAGCAAAGTGACTGCAGCTTGTTCTGGTTTCCCAAGAGCGATTGTTGAGGGGGTTATTTTAGATCCCCAGCACTGAACCACCCCTCCAGTAAAAAAAAAAGAAAATCCATATATCACAGTGCAGATATACAGATAGATGATACAAATTTTTGTATATATTTACCACTTATCCATGTGCAGTTTTGGGGGTATCTTTGGGAACTTTGCCATAGAGCTGGGACCTAAATCTCTTGCATTTTCCAAAAAAAAAGCTTATGGAAGATACCGACGGCAAAGAGCCACATGAAGCCAGGAGGTGTCCCGGAGGGCAGCGCAGAGCCCAGCAGGGCAGGGAGAGGAGGTTCCCAGCCTCTCCCACCACATCCCAAGCCCCCGGGGTCCAGCGGGCTCTGATAAATCCCGGCTCACGAAGAAGCACTGAAGCCGGCCAAGAGAGCAATTCGCAGTTTGCACTCGTGCAAGAATTTGATGCGGCGGGAGCAGAGGAAAGCCGTGGAGCTGCCGGGACCTCGGTGTGCCGAGCTGGGCAGCATCGGGCGCGCCGAGAGCCCGCAGCGAAACCGTCGCGCCCTCGGCACCGCCAGAGCCCTCCACCGAAAAGGCGGCAGTTTGGGGCTTGTTTGGGCATGAAAATCCAAGCGTTCCCCCAGCGAGCGGCTGCCGGGGCTCTCCCCGCCTGCCTCCGGCGCCGGCGAGGCGTGGGCGGTGAGCGGAGCGCGCCCCGCCGATCCCGAGAACCGCCATGAGCTCCTCGGAGGAGAGGGAAACGCTTCTGACAGGCAGCTGCCGCACACAACCGGCAGCGGGGCCGCCGCTCGCTGCCAGATGGGGACAGACAGACAGACAGACAGACGGGCACGCGCGCGGCTGGGGTGGGGTTGGGGGCGGCGGGCAAGGCAATCCCCCCCAGCCCGAGCTTCCCCGCTGCCGCCGCGACCTCTGGCTCTGATGGAAGGAGAAGAACAAGGAAAACCAAGTCCAGAGCGCTGAGGAACTTCCCGTCGGCTCTCACCGCCTTGGCCACTCAGGGCTGGAAACGGGGGAGCCCCAGATAATGCGGGGCAAAACTGCCTCCATCAGCCCACACGTCTTCCTGGAGGGAACCTCAGCAAGTTTTGGGGGTTTGGTGTGATTTGGTTCCCCCCGGCCACGTGTTATGATTGTTGGCAGCAGGAGGGGACTCGGCCCTTCCGCCAGTCTGAGCCTGCACGCTGCCGGAGTGATGTCCTCCCCCCTAAAAATTCTCCTGCTGGGATGGGAAGCCCTTGCTCCAGGGAAATATTTGGGAGCTCTGGGATAAGTGCTCTGACTCTGCAGCTGGAGCCTGAGCAAAACCTTGCCTTTCCCCTGCGCCAGGAGCACCCAAGCCCCTGGCACGTGTGAGGACCCCTTGCATCACCAGGCCCTGAAATCCAGGCTCTGGCACCAATTCCACTCTGGCAGCCGTGCCTCAGCCAGGGAAACACCACAAAACAGTGGGACAGGCACACCAATGAGATCTCACACCAGTGCCCATGCTGGTGCCCCACTCACAAACAGAAGCAGGCAAGGGACATCGCCTGCTCTGTGACACAGTTTCCTACCCTGTCCCCAGGGACGCTCAGGCTGGTTGTGAAATCCTGGCTGCCACTACCTATGCAATGGGCGCCATGTGTCACGCAGCCATGTGTCACACTGCTGCTGAGGGACCTCACACTGGCACTGGTGGGGACCGGGGTCACCCGCAAACAGCCCTCCCAGCGCGGTCCCCTCTGTGGCCACCCCAGCTCTGCACACAGTATCTCGGGGCACTCGGCTGGAGGGAAGCAGCTCCGTGAGCCCCAGCCCCGACACCCCTGCCAGGGCCAGCATCCTCCCCGGTATGAGTGCATCACCCCGGCAGTGCCCTGGAGCTGCAGCCCGCGGCCGGGGCCAGCGCATCCTCCCCGGGGCCAGCACCGCAGGGCCCGGGCCAGCACTTCGGGCCAGCGCAACCTCACGGGTGCGAACCCGTTGCATCCCGGCTGGATCCTCCCGGCGGCCAGCACCCAGCACCGAGACCAGCACCCAGGACCCGCACCTGCACCCAGATTCGAGGCCAGCACCCCAGGGCAGCGCATCCTCCCGGGGCTATTCAGCACCCACCGCATCCCGGGTGGGTGCTCCCAGCAGCGGGACCGGCCGCCAGCACCGGGACCTGCACCGAGGAGCGGGGCCAACAACCGCGACCACCACGCCGGGGCTGAACCCAACGCACCCCGTGTGGATGCCCCCCGGGACCAACCCCCAGCCCCGGGACCAGCCCGCAGCACCGGGGCACTCCCGGTCAGGCTCCCCCGCCGCAGCCCGCCATCCCCGCCGCCTCCCCGGCACCGGTGCCCCGAGCCGAGCCCAGCCGAGCCGAGCCGTGCCCGCACCCCCGCCCCGGGCCCGTCCCCGCCGCGGTACCTGGCTCAGCTCCGGCACGGCCCCGCCGCCGGGCTCACCCGGGCGCCGCCGCCACCGCCCTCCGCGCCGTGCGGGGCCGTGCCGTGCCGTGCGGGGCGGGGGGCCGGCCCCGGCAGCCTGGGAGATGTAGTCCTTGGCCTCCCGGAGGGGCTTGTGGGACTTGTAGGAGGCGAGCGGGGCCGCCTGCGCCCACCCGCCGCACTGGGATCTCCGGGATCCCAGCCCGGTACTCACCCCGGCACATCGGCACCCCCAGCCCGAGTTAACGGCGTATCGGCATCCCCTGTACTCAGCCCCCGGTACTCATCCACCGGGATCCATCCACCCCAGTACCCACCCGGCGCATCAGTACCACCTTGCACACTCCCGGTACCCAGTCCGGTACCCACTGCGGTACGTACCTCGGTTCCCATCCCTGTACCCACCCGGCTCTCAGGCATCTCCAGTATCTACCCCGGTCCCCAGCCCGGGACATCGGTACCCCAGTAGCCACCCCTTGTTATTCACCCCGGTACCCACTCCACCGCACCGGCATCCCCCAGTACCGACCTCGATCGCACCCCAGCACCCACCGGGTACCCGCCCTGACCCCCACTGGGCACCGACACCCGCGCCCATCCTCTCGCTGCCGAGATCCCTGCGAGGAGCCGGGCTGAGTCCGGGCAGGCTCGTGACAGAGATGACCCAGGGCGCTTAGGGGTGCGCGCCGGCGCCGGGACCCATTTTAGGTCAGAAAACACCAAAACCCTCTTTCCCCCTTTGCAAGCCCCCCGGGTTGGCGAGAGGGGGGAGGCGGATTTTGGGGGAGGGGGGAGCGGGGGGGAGCAGCACCGGAGTGCGCTGTGCCTTTAAGCGGCCCGTGCCCGGCCGCGCAGTGCACGCTGGGAGTTGTAGTCCCTCCTCGCCCAGCGCCCCTCAGCGGCAGCAGGGGCTGGACTAAAGCTCCCAGCAGGCCCTGCAGCGGTGGGGCGGGGGTGGTTATGGCGGCGGAGTGGAGCGCGCTCCTTCTCACCTGCCGGCGCGACCAGGGCGCCGTGTCCGCCCTGCAGCGAGGCAAGCGGCGGGGCGGGCGCCCTCCCTCCCTCCCTGCCCGCCGCGGCGGGGCGGCGGGGACCGGCTCTCAGCGGCGCCCGCCTCTCGCTTGGCAGAGCTGGAGGTGCGGCGGCTGCGGGGCGCCCTGGGCCCGCGCCCCCCCGCGCTGCTCCTGGCCGTGGAGGACCCCTGGGCCCGGCTGGGCAGCGGCGGTGCCACCCTGAACGCCTTGCTGGTGGCGGCCGAGCACCTCAGCGCCCGCGCCGGCTGCACGGTGAGGGCTGGGAGCCTCGGGGGGGGCTGGAAGGGAGAGGAGTGTCTGTGCCGTCCCCGCCGACGTCCCGACTGTCCCCTGCCAGGTGGTGACCGCTGACGTGCTGAGGGACGCCCGCATCCTCATCCTGCACATGGTGAGAGCCGACCTGCAGCCCGGCGTGGGACCCCGCGTTGCACCCGCTCCCTCCCGCTGACCCCGCCACGTTCTCGGTCCCACCAGGGCCGCGACTTCTCCTTCGACGACTGCGGCCGCGCCTTCACCTGCCTGCCCGCGGAGGAGCCCGGCGCCCCGGCCGAGGCGCTGGTCTGCAACCTGGACAGCCTGCTGGGGACCATGACACACCGGGTCTGTGTGGCCTGGGGAAGGGGCCCTGGGGGTGGGTTCAGCTCCCAAAATGGTGGGAGGGGTGCTGGGTGCCCCACGAGGGCTGGGCCCCTTCCCTGCCATCCCTGGGCACGTGGCCCTTCTCTCAGCAGCTCTGTGTGGGCTCCCCGCCCGGCGTCTGGGTCTGCAGCACCGACATGCTCCTCACCGTGCCCTCGGCACCAGGTCAGTGAATGCTAGGCTTGCTTTCAGCTCCTGCTTTAGCCTGGGACAGGGTTCTGAGCCAGCAGCACAGCTGGTTCAGCCTGCACTGTGCTCCCACGAGGGTGTGGGTGCTCGAGCATTCCTGTCCCGTGTGCGGTCGGCAGCACCTGTAAGGTGGCCCAGGCTGGATGGTGATGTCACCTCATCTGCCATGGGCCCAGTTTTCAGGCAGCTGTGCCCAGTGTGGGTACGTGCACTGCCCCAGTGGGCACTGGTCTCTGTCCTTCTCCCCAGGGATCAGCTGGGATGGCTTCCAGGGCGTCAGAGTGATTGCGGTGCCCGGGAGCCCGGTGTATGCCAGGAACCACGGGGTCTACCTCGCTGATGAGCAGGTCAGTGGCAGCTCACCCTTCAAGGGACACTCCTTGGAGGTCCCCACCGCTTCATCCCCTGGCTGCTGCGGTCCCAGCACTGCTGTGGCTGCTTGACTTGGGGCTTCCTGAGGAGCTCATTGGGGTGGTCTCACTCGCAGGGGCTGGTGCGTGACATCATCTACAAAGGCACAGAGGCCCGGATCCAGCAGTGTGCAGGGCCTGATGGCACCGTCCCACTGGTACAGCATGACCTGGGCATTGGTGACCCTGCCAGCACCATCCTTTGTGTCACCACAGCTGCAGCCTCAGCCCTGCTGTGCCCTGACAGGTCTGTGGGATTGTTTTCTTCTCCTCGGACGCTGCTGAGCAGCTTCTGGCCACCCACGTCATCCCTCCTCTGGATGCCTGTACCTACATGGGGCTGGACTCAGGGGCACCTCCCATCCAGGTGACAGTCCCTCCATGGGGGATGGGACCCCTTGCCACATGGGTACCTCTTCTGGGCATCTCTGTAGGGTCTCTTTGCACCCACAGCACCAGATTTGGGTGGGAGAAATGGTGGGAGGGAGCATCCAGTAGTAGGGTGGGGATCCGAGTGGCTGCACCTGATAAGTCCCTTCTCTCCCCAGCTCTCCCTGTTTTTTGACATCGTGCTGAGCATGGCAGGGGGGATGACGGAGAAGGATTTTGTGAAGGGTGGCAGCGATGCCAGCGTGAGGAGCGCCCGCTCCGTGCTGTGGACAGCTCTCCGTGGCTTCCCTCTTAGCATGGGTGAGTGCTTCCTTCCACCTTCTAGTGGAAGGTGTCCCTGCCATGGCGTTGAAACTAGATGATCTTTAAGGTCCCTTCCAACCCCAGCCATTCTGTGATTCAGTGCTGTGGTGAGTGTGTGTGATGTG